AACTCTGGCAGGCAGACAGCTGTATCCCCATTGTGCGGGGACACGCTCAATTCGGGACAAAGAGGCTGAGCGGCACCTCGGAGGGTCAGATGCTCGGGGGTGGTTGCTGGGGGGCTCAGCAGGAGCCTCAGAGAGTCTGCTTCAGTGAAGCCCAACTCCGGCACAACGCTGGAGGGAAGACAGTTCTCCAAAAGAGAGGTGAACTCGGGGCTTGTTTCTTTATGGCTGTTGAGTATCTGGTAGGAAGAGCGAGGCTTCGGGAGGTTAGCCTGGTTTCTGATTCAAAGACCTGCCTGCTCAAATTGCGTTTGCAGTTTTGCGCGGATGAGATATTCGCACAATACGCTGTTATAGCGTGTGTGCTGGTAACTGCCTGCCACATTCCAACCCCGGAGTCACTGCACTTCAAGGCTGATAGAAATGACCACCCGTTAAGTCATGTAAAACTAAAATATTTGGGGAGTTAAAGGCGCTATGCAAATATACGGTTATTGCAAGTCAGTGAACATCAGCTCCTTAAACGGAGCAGAACAGGATGCAAATCTGTCATCGTTTTCCAACTGGCTAGTAATACATAAGTTATAACGTGAATGAATGAGGCCTTAGTATGTTCTGCTGCAAGGTAAGCTACGCAATAGCTGATCCCAGAACAAACGGAAACTTTCATTTGCTATTAATTATGGTAAAAAGATAGTGGCAGGGTTGTGACAAAATTTAAACAAACCTTTTAACCCTGCTGGACTCTAGGTCATTTGCGTCATTTGGAGGCTCCCCTTCTTTGTCCCCAAAAGTCTGTGCCTACCCAGAGCTCAATGTAACGCAGGGGCTGCTGCCTTTTGCAGGTCTGGAAACAGCCAAGTTGAACCCTGACACGCAGCGTGAGCATAACTTGCACTTTCCATACGGACCCAAGTTCTGTAGCCCTGACAAATGAAGCAGACCTTGTTGAGTCATATAAAATCAAACATGCAAGGGTCTCTCTCTCTGCTCACTTGACCATGTCCAGGGAGAAGCCTAGGAGGTTTAAATTACGCTGTGGGAGCAATTCCTAATCACCTGTGGCTACAGAAATATATACAGTATTTTCATCAGCTGGCACAGACACAGAACATCCCAAGGAGACCTTGGGAAATACCTTCCAGTGGCTAAAGGGCATTTCTCAAGTGTCTGTCAAAGTTTTCCAGAGCCTACTACTTATATGGTCATTCACTTTCAATTAGCTTTTGTTTAACTACATTTCAGGTTAAATAGATTCTAGAAGGTGATCTGTGGATTCAAATTCACTGTATGGCAGGCTCTGAAGGAACTGTCATACGCCAGACAGTGAGCAGATATGAGCATAATGTTGGATCCCCTTTTTCCCACAGGTAGACTCTGGTTGTGCCTAATCCACGGGACGCAGAGATGTGTCCCATCTCCTTGGTCCACATGTGTATCCTGGCCATATCCTGACTCCCTGCCAGGGCAGTGCAGGCATCAATACCCCATGTGTACCTCTGATGGATGCAGAGACTGTTGAGCAGGTAGCCTGTCCCAGCTCCAGCTCCAGTGTAGATAGCTGGTGGCTTTGGGACTGGGCCACGTCTTGAGCATACCAGCTTTTAAGTCTAAATATAACCAGCATCAAAGACAAGCAAAACACATTTCTGTGGCCAACAGGACACATACCAGAAAGGACAAAAAGGATCATGATCAGCCTTTGTAAATCCTTACATAAAGATGATATAACCCCCAGTATAGTACAATGACCACAGCGTGTTCATCCTTCAACCCATTGTCAATCTTCTCCTGCAGGGTCTGAAGCTGTTACTATACCTTCTTCTTTTTTAGCTCTGTTTAAATGACAGTTGAACTCTATTTTTTTGCACTAGGATTGAAAAAGGCATGACCTACTCATAGCCTTTCCTCAAAGAGAGAAAAGAGGAACAAACAGTAGGGGCAGGAGTTCTCCCTGGTGAGGAGGGATAAAATGCAGCAGCCATAAAATGGAGTACTAAATATTGCCCTGTGAAGCTCAAGTTGGACACCTGCCCGAAGTGGCACAGTTACCTCTCCACGCTGCCTGCCCAAAGCAAGCTGGGTCTGATGGCCCCGTGGTACCGGCACCAGCTCTGGCTGTTTGGAAGGTGGTGGGGCTGCAGGAAGCACCAGCCTTCAGCAGCGTTATGGAGCGTGCGGCCCATGGTGATTTGGGAGGGGATGAAGACTTGGATAAAGAAGACAATGCAAAGAGAATGAGGAGGCACTGCTTTACTGGGAGGCTGGGAGATGGTAATTCCTCCCCCAGGCCCTTTCCCCATTAGCACTGTCCCATGGTGCTGTCATGTGGTGGCAGCCATCCTGGGGAATTCAGAGGGGAGCCGCTCGAGTATGTCTGCCAGTAGAGATGAAGCAGTCTAAAGGCTTGCAGCAATAAGGCATATCCTGAACAAAAAAACCAAACAGCAACACCAAAATGTCCAGGCTCTTCCTTACCCTAGGGCAGTTCTTTCCTGAATCATAATTTTCCTTTCAGCTCTTCCTGCAGTGCCATATAGCTGTGTCAGTCCTTCGCGTGACTGCGAGAGCATGGCGGTCAGGCGGGATGACGCATTGCCACGCAAAGACACATCACAATCCTGCCTTTCCTTACCTAAAAAAAAGAAAAGAAAAAAGATGTGGGGTAAAACCCCGTGTCACTTAATGACTATCACCGCCACTGTGCTGGAGTTAATTGTAGCCCTGCCCTGTCCACAGCCCCAAGGAGCTCCACGAGCGCTCAGCCATTACCTCTCTCGGGCGGAGAAAGCATCTGGATGGAGTTTTTAGCGCAGCAGCCCTCTGCAATTCACTGCGACGGGTCTGGCCAGTCTCTGTCTCATTTACCACAGGCAAATTTGTTCTCCCTTGCTGGGGAACAAGAGCAGAGCTACCTAATGACCCGCCAACTTTCACAAGGCGTGGTGCTATGCATTTAGGACAAACCCGCTCGGAGACGGATTTAAGGCAATGAACATTTTATATTAATGCTGTGATTTCTAGGAATTATCTATAAATGCCTAGGAAGTACATAAATCAATTTATTTTTTTAAGTATGGCTTTCCAAATGAATACTTTGCCCCATATGGCAGAAGAAAGCTTTGCTTTTTGATCTCCAGGCTCTCGAACCAGAATCAAACACCCCAATTGCTTTTACTCAATATTTAATGAAACAGTGTTCCTATCTCAATTTCCTTCTTAATTGGCTGAGTACACGTTAAGTTATGGTGACAGGAAATGACAGCTGAAAATGACACACAGCTTTTACATATATTTTTTCGTCAGCAGAGCTCAAAATGTTTTAAAATCATTAGGGCCATTTTTAAACACGAAATACTGAAAGACGGGGCAGGAAATACTTCATCCCACGGGCAAGGGGTGGAGCTGGAGCAGGCGCCGCAGCTGCTGCTCTCCCTGCTGCTGCCCGGCGGCTGTCAAAATACCTTGTGATTGATGAGAGAAACTGTAAATATGTGTAATATTGTGGTGTTCGGTAACTATCTCGCTCCCTTCGCAGTAACAAAGGCTTTAATGAATGTGTGAGACGGGACATATTTTAAAGGAGAGAGTAGGGAATCATAGTTTTATAAACAGCATTTTAAGGAATGGCCAGTATGGATTGGATGTTGGTGGTTGTTAGGGATCAAAATGTTTCAAGTATTAATTTATCTGGATAATGATGCATCCATTAATTATCTTGTTCACAGTCACTGGTTTGAGCTAAAATTTCTGGGTGTATTGGGGTGTGGCAAAGCACTAAAGTACGTAGAACCTCACAAAATACACAAGTCCTCCCAGACCAGCTGATTGTTCTTGGCGATTCAACATTGTTCTCTAACAGTTTAGCGTTTCCGCAGTGTCTTGTCTCACTGTACAACACACAGGCGTGGGGTTTCCACCATTTTTCCGCTAAGGACACAATTTCAGGGGCTGAAATCTCCACATTACATAGGTTTTCCTTGCTGCTTTGCCTACACTTCCCATTACTTCACAGAGAAACGTCTTGTTCTCTTTGGTGCTGCCTCTCCATCAGACATCAGTGTTCAGGCCCCGTCACAAGAGCCCGGCTTCCCAGGTGCCCCTGGCAGCATCAGGCTGGGTAAAGCTGTCTGGTTTTCATCATTTTCTGGTGTTGCATCGGCTGTGGCCTCCCCACCCTGTTCCATGTTCCATACCCTGGAGCACACGGTTCAGTCCTGAGAATTAAACCCTGATCTAGAGGGGCCTCTTCCCCCTCAGCAGGAACTGTGGCAGCTGCCGTGGTGCCTGGGGACGCTTCACACCTTTCACACCTTCCCAGCGAGTTCCAAAGTGCCTCTCTCAGCCTGGACTGGCTCCGAGCTACCCCCAGGGGTGGCCCCTCTGGGGCCACCTTTTTTCGACGCCTGCGGGAAGGGCTGAGTGACCGGGGGTTTCCTATGACACCGCTCTCCATAGGGAGAGGGTGACAGCTCTGCCGCCCGCTCAGGGCCCAGAGGAAGCGGTGTCACGGGAGAGGCCTCACCCCGCGCCGCCCTCCCCTCCCGGGGAGGCAGGACGGATACGTCGGTGGACCCTGCCCTTCCTGAGGGGGCTACCGAGCCACCAACCGCCACCAACGGCCCCCCTCACGCGCTGGCGAACAAAAGCCCGCGCAAAGGCCGCTCGCTCCCCTCAGCCAATCAGCGCCGGCGGGCGCGAAGGGTGGCGG